AAACAACTTTTTAAATGACGTTAACATGTTGAAGCTTAGATGAGGTTTTAGTGATTGGCTTTATATATATGTTAGACTGGAACCTGTAAAAAAAAAATGTCAACACATAATTGTCATCAAAGACATTTTGTAAATGACTACTGTTCAGAATGACCTTTCTTCGTTTTAATCTCCATGATTTTCTATAATTACCCTAAATTGTCAATGTGTTGCTTGCAACCATGGCAGCTATATTCAATTTATAGACTGTATTTACTGTAATCCTCATCCCTCTGCTCCTGTAATTGTCTCAATGCCACTTTCAGAAGTTTGTACAGAACTGAAGGTCAAACTAAAGCGGTGTGCTGCACAGAATATGTCATGTCTGCTATGTGAAACAAGACAAATAGCAACAGCGCTCACACCTAAGGGTATATAAAAAGTTCATAAAAATCATCAAAATTAATTGCAGTGCTCCGTGATTTCCCACATGCCTGACAAGCTTGTATCAATATGTGCTCCACCCTGCCACGTGCCAGTATGTACTACCAGGGCCGGGACCAGGGTGGGCGGCTACCCTGGGTGCAGTGGTTTACTGTACGGATGGGGGCACTTTCCTTCTATTACAAGGCTGACAGGAGTATCACTACTCCTGTCAGCCTAGCGCTGGAAGCAGCGAGGAGAGAGCTGGGACATGGTGCGGGCTGTGTTCTCACTCTCCCTCCTTCTTCCTGACTTCCTGTATTAACAAGCAGGAGGCAGTTTTCAGGGCCGTGAATAAGGGGGTACCACCTGTCCTCCTGTATGGGGCCCAGGCAAGCAGGGGGGCACAGACAGCTAGATGAATCAGATGTGGGCAGGGAGGGTGATCGACATGGGGGGGGGCTTACTGGAACCGATCCCCTGTACGGCTCTCTCTGCAGCAGCTGGCTTTCATGGCTTTCAGCTGCTGCAAAGAGCTATACAGGGGATCGTTTCTAGTAATTGCCCCCCCCCCGCCACACCCATCACCCTTCCTGTGCACCATACATTTGCCCCTGCTGCTCTGGTCTCCCTGTGTGCCCCCACTTCTGCAGTGCTTCCTGCTTCCCTCCTCTCCTTCCCACTGGCAGCTGCAAGCACACAGTAGGATCCTTCAGGATGGAGAGTGGAGGAAATGTCCAGTAAATATATCACATTTACCAGCCCCTTCCTTCCCTGAATGAACACAATTAGTGATTGTTACTGATCACTCTTTGTGTTCACTCATAACTGGAGCATCATAAACTGTGTTTTTTCAGGAGGGCCCTGTCAGGTTGGCTGTATGGGGCCCAGTGGCTTTTAACAGCAGCTCTAGTGGTGTTCACAGACAGGAGCTGTACTAGCAGGGAGGAGGAGGGGGAGAGAGAGCACAGCCTGCACCACTGAATTGAGAAGTGTCCAGGAGTGAGCCAAGAGTGGAGGAGAGAGCCATCAACACAAGCATGTGCCCAGTGTTAAATCCGAGCTGCACAGTGATTTTGACAAGCGAGAGACTGCTGGGTGTAGGAACCCCTAAACTTGTAAATCATGAATAAGGGGGGGGGGGGCAGTTTGATATTTTTGCCCTGGGCGCTGGATGATCTTGTCCTGGCACTGTGTACCAGAAATAATTGACTCCTTATTTGCACAAGAAAGTCAAATATGGTATACACCCCTGGGAGTAGAATAAGTGTGCTGCAGGAACCATATAATCAGTCAGGCAAGTAGCCTCCGGTGTTACCACCCACTAACTCTGCTTGTCTCCAAACTCCTCCAAGAACCACCCAATATTGGCAAAAGAGAACATCAAAGAGGAGAAAGGATGCCCCCTCCCTCCCCCCCCCCCCCCCCCCAGTGAAATACTGTTTATTATGAGCTTACAAATAGGTAAAATTGCACTTCCAATGAATTAATATGTGTTAGGCATTAATACAAGTGTTCCAGGAAGTGCTGCTGGCAATCCAGCACGCATTGCACCCGTCTGGAGTGATGTAGCCGGAGGTCCCCTGCAATGCATTTCGTCATACATTTGCAAGGTTCTCAGGAGTAGCTGTTCACACATGTGGGAAAACATGGAGCACTGCAATTAGATTGGTTGCTCCATTTTGACTTTTTATGAACTTCCACCTGTCCGGATAGGAAATAACTGGAAGTCCCACCCAATGCATTTCGTCATACAGCTGTGACGTCCTCAGAAGCAGGATGCTACAAGCTTTTCATGCAAATGGAAAAACATGGAGCACTGAAATTAAATTGGATGCTCCATTTTGACTTTTTACGAACTTCTACCTGTCTGGAGATGACATCACTGGAAATCCCACTCAATGCGTTTCGTCATACAGCTGCGACGTCCTCAGAAACAGGATGCTACAAGCTGATCACACATGTTGGAAAAACACGGAGCACTGCAATTAAATTGGATGCTCCATTTTTACTTTTTATGAACTTCCACCTGTCCAGAAATTACATAACTGGAAGTCCCACCCAATGCGTTTCGTCATACAGCTGTGATATCCTCAGGGGCAGGATACCAAAAGTGTGCCACACTTGTGGGAAAACACGGAGCACTGCAATTAATTTGGATGCTATATTTTGACTCTATGAACATTTTATATACCCTTTGGTATGAGCGCTGTTCCTATTTGCTTCGTTTCACTTGTAACCCTTTGTTGGTTTGACACAGCAGCTGCACTTATAGTAGAATAGGGGTTCCACATATACATATAGTTATCCATTAGCACAGACTTTTTTGTTTTGCTTTATATCATGTCTACTAAGTACTGGGATTTCATCTTTGGTGAAGATTTAGAATTTCTTGATATATCAAACCAGGCACATTTCTATGCTACGACTGATCATTGATCAAAATTTTCAGCACATTTCCTGGAATGGCCTATATCAATATCTACAGGACCAAAGCAGGTGAAGGCATTCAGTTAAGTTTGTAAAATTCTCAGCAACGTATATGTAGCACCCACTGACCCCCAGGGGCAGGTGGAGTATCCCCAGAGACAGGGTGGGCTAGCATTTTCCAAGTGCTAATTCCATGGTGGAAAGGTGGGGGATGTGTAACAAACTGATAAACTAAGGACTTTTTAAAGGACTTTAATTCTTCACAGCAACACATGGGGGGAGGGTGGTAGGGAACAGAGAAAATCCTTACTAAATTGTAGGTTTAGACTCGATCCATAAGCTTCGGTACAGGAAAAAAGGGCCTTTAAGCTGAAACCAGCAGCCTGTGCTTTTTCCAGAAGTAATATCTGCAGTAGTGACCATTTGGAAAAAGTTGAAAGAAAGGTATTTGCATTGAGATTTAATACACTGGATGCAGGAGAGTTTGCAGCAGTGGGAAGGCAACATTTAAATCTGGGTGTTTATATTGCTTTTCCTTCTACATTAACATAACTGTGCGTTTGCTGTTGGTTGAGCATCTGCTTGGATTCTTCTGCCCCACTTTCAAGTTAAATTTCTGAGTTTCATTGAACTGCATTAGGTTATCATTTTTCTGTAGAATGCTGTCATCTACTAATTATTTTAGGCCATTGCAACTTGTTTACTATTGTGATTTTGGTGTCTTCCTCTGTCCTCCCCTCCTGTTTTGTGCTAGTTAGTTTAGTTCGTGCTAGACCCTCCACACTTCTTCCATGTTCCCTCAATCAGTGTTGGTTATTTGCAGTGACAATATTTAGGAATGTCATCAGGCAAATAGACTGTGCAATTGCAAGTGCATTTACACCTCTGGAAATCCCTTCAAAGTGAAGGAAACCCTCGTTGTTGTAACTTATGTCCCCATTATAAGATTTCCCCTCTATTACTGTTCTGGGAACAGCCCAAAATGTGGGATTTTCTTTCACTTTTGATGATAACATTAAATATAGGGCTACAGGTATGTCAGGAGACGCTAACTCAAGGGTGCTCAACCTGTGGCCCTCCAGGTGTTGCAGAACTAAAAGTTCCATCATGCCTCTGTCTTTGGGAGTCATGCTTGTAACTGTCAGCTTTGCAATGCCTCATGGGACTTGTAGTAGTGCACCTCTGGAGGTGCAGTTGCTCCAGAGCTTAGCAAATGAGGGGAAGCCCTGTTGACTTACATCATCCAATCATGTGCAAGCAAAAATGCTGTTTGTTTTGTTTTTATTTTCCTTGCATGTGATTGGGTATTCTTTGATTCCACTCACTTACAGAGCTCTGGAGCAACTTCACTTGCAAAGTGCACAGTCTATTTGTCTTTTGTAAATCCACCCCAGAGTCTTCTTACACTTCAAAAGTCTAGAAAAACATCTTCTGTACTGCAATTAGGGGAAGTAAAATGGTGCTGGATTTAAAGTGATACTAAACCAAAGACCCAAGTAAGTATTTAGGGGTGGAGCCAATGCTCGTGACATCATCACGCACCTTGATCTCAGGAAATGGCCTGTCTGAATCCCAGGACCGGCTCGTGTTCGATAAGCGCTTATTGTTTTTAACATTGTAAGTAGTTAGTGCATTTTAATAAACTTCAAGTTTTACTAAACCCAGGACCCTGCATTCACTATATCTGGTTTGCCAGGACCCTGCATTCACTATATCTGGTCTCCCAGGACCCTGCATTCACTATATCTGGTCTCCCGGACCCTGCATTCACTATATCTGTTCTCCCTGCACCCTGCATTCATCATATCTGGTCTCCCAGGACCCTGCATTCACTATATCTGGCCTCCCCGGACCCTGCATTCACTATATCTGGCCTCCCCGGACCCTGCATTCACTATATCCGCTCTCCCTGCACCCTGCATTCATCATATCTGGTCTCCCAGGACCCTGCATTCACTATATCTGGCCTCCCCGGACCCCACATTCACTATATCTGGCCTCCCCGGACCCCGCATTCACTATATCTGGTCTCCCAGGACCCTGCATTCACTATATCTGGTCTCCCAGGACCCTGCATTCACTATATCCGGTCTCCCAGGACCCTGCATTCACTATATCTGGTCTCCCGGACCCTGTATTCACTATATCTGGTCTCCCCAGGACCCAGCATTCACTATATCTGGTCTCCCACAGTACACACAACATGGAAATGCAATTATTTTAGCAAACCTAAACTGCTAAATACCTTTTCTCATCAGCAGTTAGAGCAGTCTTGTGACTTCAGCAGAACACTGGTTAAAGCTTATAGGAGGAGTTTTCTTTCTGCTCTAGGAGGATTTGCATCCCCTGACCCTCTGTTTGGACAGTGCTGATTGGCCCTGTGCTGATCACATGCACTCTCCCAAGAAAAAAAAACCCTCTCAAGCAATACACACTAAACTGAGCATGTGCATGTGACTACTGGTTCAGTCTATCTTATCAGGAGATAAGACGTGGATGTCTGAAGAAGAGGAGGGGCAGAGAAGACAGCCTCTAACAACCTTTTCCCATAATGCAGAGGATTAATCCCTTAGGTTCCACAGTGAGTATAACAAGCATGCTTTACTGCATCTACAGACCGATTTTACTGTTGTGGTTTTAGTAACACTTTAACTTCTGTGGTTTATTGAAGAGTTAAGCTGCCTGTGGATGGTGCCAAGTCAGCAGATGACCATACTGTCCGGACAGACTAGGTCTAAGGAGGTATGGCAAAGCATAAAGCGGCATTTGAAACAGAACATGGATCACAAAATCGGATGATGTTCAGCTTTAAGATTTTAATCGTCTCCAGTACCCAGCACTGCATGTTTACTAAGCCACACACGCGCGTCCATGCATATAGAGAAGAATGTCAAGCTTCCCTAATATCGTATAATAACCGGAAAGGATGTTGAATGTAAACTATATGTAAATCAGAATGACCTGCGCAGCACACAGCGCCGTGCTACCACAGAGATAAAATCATTACCTGTGAATGTGATAGCACTGTAGAAGCAATCTGTTTACCAGGGCTGCTCAGATACTACAAATTTTTCATTTGATAACTTTTAGTACTGCATTGCAGGGGCATCTCAAAGGACAATTTCTGGTTGATGTTTGTAATCGCTCTTATATATAAAAATGTCATTACGGAATGTAAAAGGAATGGTTCTATGTGAGAAATGGGAATCAATAGGGGTCAGCTTTTTTCTATCCTGGGAAATGTCCAAGGTCCTTTCTCTTGGTGATGAGAGGAGCAGTTGCCAGAATTTAGTCTGAAGGCTGCAGATGTACGGGGTGATGAAAAATCTCTTTGATAAATGGGAGAGGGGGGGTGGGGGGTGAGCGGGATGCAGTGGGACACTTTTCTGTGTCAGATGCTCAAGTGCTTCCTTTAGGGCCCCTAATCTGTCACAATAAAGTGCACTAGATTTAATGAGTTTAACCTCTTCCACTCTCTACAAGGGGAGACATATGAGCCTTTTAAACCAGCGCAGGAACCATATGTACAGAGATGCCCCTCAATTCATCATGGACGGGTTGAGTCTGAGCACAAACTTTATACCTACAGTGCCTTTAAAAAGTATTCACACCCCTTGAAATTTTCCACATTTTGTCACATTACAACCAAAAAACGTAAATGTATTTTATTGGGATTTTATGTGATAGACTATCATAAAGTGGCACATAATTGTGAAGTGGAAGGAAAACGATAAATGGTTTTCAAATTTGTATACAAATAAATATCTGAAAAGTGTGGCATGTGTTTGTATTCAGCCCCCTTTACTCTGATACCCGTAACTAAAATCTAGTGGAACCAATTGACTTCAGAAGTCACCTAATTGATAAATAGAATCCACTTGTGTGTAATTTCATCTCAGTATAGCAACAACTGTTCTGTGAAGCCCTCAGAGATTTGTTAGAGAACATTAGTGAACAAACAGCATCATGAAGGCCAAGGAACACATCAGACAGGTCAGGGATAAAGTTGTGGAGAGGTTTAAAGCAGGGTCAGGTTATAAAAAATATCCCAAGCTTTGAACAACTAATAGAGCACTGTTCATCATCCAAAAATGGAAAGAGTATGGCACAACTGCAAACCTACCAAGACATGGCCGTCCACCTAAACTGACAAGCCGGGCAAGGAGAACATTATTCAGAGAAGCAGCCAAGAGGCCCCTGGTAACTGGAGGGGCTGCAGAGATCCACAGCTCAGGTGGGAGAATCTGTCCACAGGACAACTATTAGTCGTGCAATCTACAAATCTGGCCTTTATGGAAGAGCGGCAAGAAGAAAACCATTGTTAGAAGAAAGCCATAAGAAGTCCTGTTTGCAGTTTGCGAGAAGCCATGTGGGGGACACAGAAAACATGTGGTAGAAGGTGCTCTGGTCAGATGAGACCAAAATTTAACTTTTTAACTTAAAAGCAAAACGCTATTTGTGGCAGAAAACTAACACTGCACATCACCCTGAACACACCATCCCCACCGTGAAACATGGTGGTGGCAGCATCATGTTGTGGGGATGCTTTTCTTCAGCAGGGACAGGGAAGCTGGTCAGAGTTAATGGGAAGATGGATGGAGGCAAATATAGGGCAATCTCATAAGAAAACCTTTTAGAGTCTGCAAAAGACTTGAGACTGGGGTGGAGGTTCACCTTCCAACAGGACAACGACCCGAAAGATCCAGCCAGAGCTACAATGGAATGGTTTAGATCAAAGCATATTCATGTGTTAGAATGGCCCAGTCAAAGTCCAGACATAAATCCAATTGAGAATCTGTGGCAAGACATGAAAATTGCTGTTCACAGACACTCTCCATCCAATCTGACAGAGCTTGAGCTATTTTGCAAAGAAGAATGGGCAAAAATGTCCCTCTCTAGATGTGCAAAGCTGGTAGAGACATCCCCAAAAAGACTTGCAGATGGAATTGCAGTGAAAGGGGGTTCTACAAAATATTGACTCTGGGGGTGAAATACAAATGCACGCCATACTTTTCAGATATTTATTTGTAAAGAATGTTGAAAACCATTTATCATTTTCCTTCCACTTCACAATTATGTGCCACTTTGTGTTGGTCCATCACATAAAATCCCAATAAAATACATTTACATGTTTCGTTGTAAAATGAGAAAATGTGGAAAATTTCAAAGGGTATGACTACTTTTTTCAAAGCACTGTGTACTCCAATCAAAATGGAAATGAAAATCTGGAATATAAAGAAGAACTCCAGGACAGCTAATAAAGTATCCCAGATCCTTTTATCCCCTTGTGCTAATGAGCATTTGTTTTTTTTTTTTTTTTAAATAGAACTAAAGGAATAACGTTCTTTTTTTTTACTAGAGTAAGGGAGGGTTAAAAACTCTTTAAGGATTTTTTTTCCATCTTTATCCCATTGGGGAGATTTCCCTCGACTTCCTGTTCTGTCGCCAAACAGAAAGTGATAGGAAATCCCTTCAAAGTGAAGTACATCCTCGTTGTTGTAACTTATGTCCCCATTATAAGATTTCCCCTCTATTAATGTTCTGGGAACAGCCCAAAATATGGGATTTTCTTTCACTTTGATGATAACATTAAATATAGGGCTACAGGTATGTCAGGAGACGCTAACTCATGGGTGCTCAACCTGTGGCCCTCCAGATGCTGCAGAACTACAAGTCCCATCATGCCTCTGTCTTTGGAAGTCATGCTTGTAACTGTCAGCTTTGCAATGCCTCACTTGTAGTAGTGCACCTCTGGAAATGAAGTTGCTCCAGAGCTTAGTAAATGAAAGGAAGTCCTGTTGACGTACATCATCCAATCATGTGCAAGCAAAAATGCTGTTTGTTTGTTTTTTGTTTTTTCCTTTTTTCCTTGCATGTGATTGGGTATTCTTTGATTCCCCTCATTTACTAAGCCCTGGAGCAACTTCACTTGCAGAGGTGCTGAGGTGCAAAGTGCACAGTCTATTTTCCTTTTCTAAATCAACACCAGAGTCTTCCTACACTTCAAAAGTCTACAAAAAAAATCCTCTGTACTGGAGTTAGCAGAAGTAAAATAGTGTTGGATTTAACTTCTGTGGCTTTTTGAAAAGTTAAGCCGCCTGTGGAGGGTTCAAAGTCAGCAGGTGACCATACTGTCTATGGGAGTCATGCTTGTAAGGCTACTTTCACACTGATCCACCGCAAAAACACATAGGTGTTTTTACCATGCTTTGCCGTGCTTTTCTGCCCATTTTTTTTTTAAAGGACACGTGACTTACAAACTGCACCAGAGGTGTTTTTTGAGGTGCTTTTCAGCTGTTTTTAAGGTGTTTTTTAGGCATTTTCCATTGATTTCAATGGTAGGAGGCGTTGTTTAACTCACCAAACATGCCCCAAAGATGCTGCAAGCAGGAGTTTTTACACTTCACCGCAAGCGCAATGCCTCAGTGTGAAAACACACAGAGATATACATTCACATACACAGGGAAGCATTTCTTTTAGCTTTTCTCAAGCGCTTTTTTTAAAGCAAAAACGCTTCAAAATCTCCTCAGCATGAAAGTAGCCTAACTGTCAGCTTTGCAAGGCCTCATGGGACTTGTAGTTCTGCAATAGCTGGAGAAGCACAGGTTGATCACCAATGTGCTAGGTCATTTTCCATTTATCTTTAAATCTTCATCAAGCCTTAAGGCGATACTCAAGGTTTGCTTTTTTTGGGGGGGGGGGGGGGATAAGAAACATGTCTATACTTTCCTGCTGTGTGTAGTGGTTTTGCACAGAGCAGCTTGGATCCTCCTCTTCTCGGGTTTCCTGCCAGTGCTCCTGGCTCCTCCTCTCTGTCAGGTGCCCCCACAGCAAGCAGCTGGCTATGGGGGCCCCCAAGCAGGCATATGCCTAAGCCACGGCTCTGTGTGTCCATTCACACACAGAGCCGCACCTTGGCCCCCCCCCCCCCCCCCCTCTCTCTCTGCATTGGCTGACTTGCTGTGATTGAATCCTCAGAAGGGCAAATGGTTAAAATAGATAAATTCAAAGACTTGCAGATATCCCCAAGAATGTAAACAAAAAGATTAAAAAAAAACAGAAACCCAGCGTTGCATGACCGTGCAATTGTCAGTTAAAGTAACGCAGCGCCATATTGCAAAAAATGGCCTGGTCAGAAGGGAGGTAAATCTTCTGGAGGGCAAGTGGTTAAAAAGGAATATACTTGTATATTCCAGTGCATATAGGCAGGGACAGGGGCTTGCAGGAAGAACACTGAAGCACTGAACTTCAGTCAATGGCAGGATTGTATACCCCCCAGAGCCCACATCAGGTGCAGCCTAAGTACTTGGACAGTCCAGCTGCTGTGTGACACCCGCTGGTAGCCACCAGAACTGCACCATTTGATTCTGGGAACAACAGTGCCACATAAGGTGACCCAAGTAATGACAGTCACTGT